GTCATTCTTCAATCTGGAAGGGTTGATAGGATTTATTACAAAACTGTAGATAATTTAGATGTCTACCAAACATTTAACCAAGCTGTTCTGCAGTAGGGGAACACTTGATGGACTGTAACAATTTTTAACATAATCGGGTTCCATGGTGGTAGAAAGGACATGTAAGCTCTCACTAGATTTTTGTTACACTTGCAGAAAAGATGCCCACATCCTTCATGTTGGTGCAAAGAAATATACAGTTTCCATGAAGAAGATAATACTACACAACCAAATAAGTCATAAAATTTCAGAGCAGTTTTTGTTGTTGTTTTTTAAATGTGGGTATGACAATTCCCTAATTTGGACTTCAACAAAAGGTTGAATGAGCTACAAGCTTTAGGCATTTAGAGTCTTCTTTCTGAGCCTGTATTTAGTACGTTGTTCCCTAAGCATTTATGAATATTACATCTAGATTTATTAGTATGTTATTTCTTTCAGAAATTTGAACAAGAGAAATACTCTCTTCAGAGAGAAATTGAACTCAAGAATCGAATGTTGGAAAGCTTGAGTTTTGAATGTGATTCTCTTAAGCAACAGCAAAACATGCAACTAGATAAACAGAAAGAACAGCTTGCCAGAATCTATGGACAAGAAATCGGTGACCTTAAAAACAAGGTTTGGCAACTAATATACAGCTAAAATGTTGCTAATAGCATTTTAAAGAATATGTTTTTGACTCATAATTGCACACTTAAGTACCAAAACAAATCTAATAAGTAGTTTTAATATGTAGAAGCTTGTTTGGTTGGTTTTTAACAAACATCTGCATGGTTATATTGTGTATTACATTAAATTTCAAAGCTGATTTTTTAAAAGTTTACTCTTAAATTGTATTTCTAGGACATTTTCTGTAATTAGAACAGAGACAAAATTATTGTGCTTTTCAAGAATTTATTATAAAATGGTACTACTTACTTGTCAACTGTCTTTAAGGCTTAGTTGTCAACTGTCTTTAAGGTGGAGAACCTGAAAGCAGAACTAGATGAAACCCGACTCTCAGAGAAACAATTAAGACACAAAGTGGATCATCAGAAGGAAATAATTGCTGCCAAATCAGAAGAACTACATATGATGTCTGAACGTGTACATGAAACCATGTCTTCAGAAATGCTCAATCTTCAGATAGAACTCACTGAACTAGAAAGTGTGAAGGTGTGTAACTAGTACTTAATTATTAGGAATGTAGGCTAGTTGGAAATAAAATTCTGTGCTTTTGCTCACATCCTTTTTAGATGCTTTGTGTATATTGCTACCTTATGATTGGATTACTATTAAGAAAATATGCACAGAAAAAATAACAGCCTTAACTAGACTTTAACACAACCTCTTATTCAAGAGAATATTTTGTATTAAAAGTAATTACTACTAACAAACCTGTTTGGTTCACATGGGCCTGCTTTTCTTGAAGTTGTTTTATAAACTTTTTATTTCATACTCTTTTTTTT